GCAGTGGTCACCAATCGCGACAGATTGATCAAAGTGTAATTCTGACAGCGGTTAAGAAGCTAACGGGCTCAAGAAACTAAAACAGTAAATATCAAACTTTGATCCATGGAGTTAGGTAAACATGAAAAGAAGGATGAACAAATCTTTAGGACCCCTGTGTGCTTCTTTGATCTCTCTCCGTGTCTGCTTCATGTTACCTCTCATCCTCTAATAACTGCAGAGCCTTGATCACTAACACCTCAGCGTTCTCTCCAGTGCTTCTCTGTATGCGGTGACCCTTTTGTGTTTCCCTTGCTTAGTAGAGCCACAGTAGTAACCTTGTTGTCGTGAGCTCTCCTTTACTGTTTGTGTTTGCATGTGTGTACCCCCTCTGTAGAGTCCGTTGGTGTCCGCTTCGCCCCTGACCCTCGTCCAGCACAAGACCCTCAGCAGGAACCTCCGCCAGCCAAACAGGCTCTGCTTCCCCCGAAATTTCTCACCGCTCCCTCCACTGAGTCCGGCAGGAGTCCAACCCCCACCCCTCCTTCATCCTCCTCCTCTTCCTCCTCCTCCTCCGCCGCCTCTGCCGCTGTAGCTGTGGCCAAGCCGCCGAGGACGGTCTCCCTAATAGCCGACGACCCACCTCGACCCGCTTCTTCCTCTGCTGACTGTGACGCCCCGCCCCCCGTCCCTCCCCATGCCAAGCAGCCTCCTGTCCCTCCACCCAAACCCACCAACCGCAACAGCAACCCCGCACTGCTCGGTGAGTTTGTTTGCTTGTGCTTCTGCAGTTTTATGGCACACTTACAATTAGCTTCCTTCTATAAACAGCTGCTTTTGTGTACCTTTCTTTATACTACAACAAAAAGCTTTCTAGGGTTTTAATAAAGTATAGGGAAACCGTGGATTGAATCTTTGAGACACAGCGGTATCAAATTTTATGTCAAATGCTGGATTTTAACAGTCACCTCCACAGAGGGCCATCTACCATTTGGCCATTTAAGTATCAAACCAAAATACTGCTGAAAAATGTTTTGGTGGAGGGGGGGTCATTTATTAAAAACCTGTTGCCCCACAAAGGTTAGTTACAACATAAGTCGAGATAGGATTTTAAATTTGCCCATCCCACGATGAGGTATAACATTTCCATACAACCTCTGCCTATGGCTCTTCACCTCAGTCAAAACATACAAGTACAACAAAAGTGACTGATAAATGATTGTTGAACTGCTAAGGAGGTAACGTACAAACAGCATGAGCATCATAGGGTAGCTAGTTCAGGCTTTACTTTGGCTATTTTATTTTCAAATAGAAAACGTCCCAATTTTACTAAATGACACCTATGTGAAGAAGTGAGACAAATAAACCAGTTATACAAAAATAATAGAAATTATATTTTGTATCATGTTTTCTGTTTTTCTATAATGTTTCTGGACTACAGTTCAGTAATCACATATTATATAATATATTGGCCTGTATCTGATTCAGTCTAGGCACAGTAGACAAATCACACAAAAAACTTAACCTAGGGCACTTTGGTATACAAATCCCCACACTCTTTCATATAATTGAATGTTCTTTTCCCATAAAGGTTTTATCACAGAGCAGTCCCACAAAATGAAGCTCTTTTGCTATTTCAATAAAACACCCTATCGTAAGTGTCATTGTTTCCATTATGGTGAAACTGAACAAAGCGGTTACTTCATTTATAGGATAGAAGTTAACATCAGACTTCTGTTTAGCTGATGAAACAGGCTGCAGGTGGATAACAGTGTATTTCTGACCTCATTTTTCAACCTGAAATATTCCTGTGGATTAAAGGCTCTTTTATTCAAACAGAAAAGCTATTGTGAGGTGTCAGTTAAGGTTGGGATTTACATGGTATGTTGGGTGTGCAAGGTTTTGGCCCGCACCTATTTCAAAGATGCTGGTTTGGTGTGGCTGTTGTGTTTTTTTTGACAGACCTGATCATCTGTGGTTAGTGTGTGAGGTAAGGATTGAGGAAAACACTGCAGGTGGTGGAGCAGGATATTCTTTGAAAGTATAGTATGTCAAAAATAAAACCAATAACTGTGAGGTGAGTCGCGTCGTGAGTCCGCGGCTCATTGCTGTGTGGGTGCTTTCCAATATGTTAGTGTGCAGTTTCACTGTGTACAGCCACCAGTCTCTGAGGAGAGGACACGCACCAGCTTGTCTTTGCACCATTTATGCAATGCCAGCACTCCTCTGGAGGTTAGATAGAAACTGACTTGGCTTTTAGTATTTCATATCCTTTGTCCCAGCATGCCATAGCTGCTCTTGTTTACAGCCCATCCCAGCACTGTCTCTTTGAAACAGTGTCTGTGGCAGGGACACATTCCACTACCATGTGCTAGATGAGGTTTCTATACATGTGTTACTACATTTCATTTCACACTGTCACATTCACAGTCCACAGTCGACAAAGTAGCTTGCCTCACTCTTATTTTACAGTAAAATCTAATTGTCAGTGCTCCCTGGTAGAGAAATCATTTGCCTATACAAAATATATGCATATAGGGATGAACAAGCCGAAACTAGGAAAAATTAGATCTCCCTGTAATTAATTCTCTGCAAGATAACCGTTTTACTCCAATGACTGGGCAGGAATGTCTTATTAAACTGTCTGCAGTGGTACTTAAAGATCCCCTCCAGTTAAATACATATACAAATTGACTGCTTGGTGACTGATGTCTTATCATTTCTGCATTGAAGCCCTTAAAAAAGACCTCTACTCCGTTTACTTTATTAAAAGTCCCAGAATCTATGAATGCAAATTTTTGTTTTCCTGCTGGACACAGGATGTCTCCTCCTTCACTGTAAAGTCCATTCTCAGAGGATGTGCACTGCTGGGTTTCTACATCACAAGTTTCTACATCACACTGTACAAGTACATACTGGACCACACTGATTTCTGAGTGGAGGGGGACTTGAACAAAAGTATATCTCATCTTATTCTCAGAAAGTTATTTTTCCACAGAAGTTGTTCCTAGGATGGAAGTAAACTTCCCTTCTGGACAGTGTAAAACCAAGACAAACAGTATCTGGAAACCCTCTTGTATTTCTCTCCCAGCTTGGAATGTAAACCCAGCCCTATCCCTGACATCTCCACTCATTTTTGCCAGCCTCCTCATTGAACAGGGGCTCTAAGGTCAGGCAGCCTTGTTACTGGACCAGCTGGAGACGGCAGAGTGAGCTCGGCCTGTACCTTTCTCTACCTGTGTACCTGCGGCACAGAGCTGCCCAGACCCACTCAGGTACCCAGTGGAGCAGCCGGATCTCAATCCATCCATCCTTAACAGAGCCTGCAGACTGGTCGTATTGATTCACAGTCATAGCATATGGAATACCTCACCTCCATTTTAACACCA